TATAATAGATTTGCCAGCCAGTTACAATAAGATAGTTGCTGGTTTTGTTTCTCCTAATCCAAGAGACCTATAGTAGTATTAAATTTATACTGCGCCTAAATCACATAATGGATGCTTAAAATAATTAGAGCTGATTTTACGTTGTATAGTAAAACTCCCCCTGTCTTTTAATTTAAGTGGTTCATTCTTTAGGAGAATTGCACTACATTGCCCGTTATTTCATGTTTTTCTAGCTCCATTTTGTTGAAAAGAATTACCTTTTTAGAGATTTGGCTTAGCTGGACATTTGTACCAATGCATCATTGAAAGGAACGATGATGTGCAACTTCTTGAAAACCTCCATAAACTTTGTAAATTGCTTATACAACTTCTTCTTCTTCTTCTTCTTCTTCTACAATTTTTGATGGAAAAGAATTGGTGGTACATAAGCCTTGATTGGACTTGGTGCGCTTGCTGTTGTTATACCTTTTCTCTCTTCCCCATCCACTATGATTGGTGCCCTTTTTTTCCTTATTGGTTACTTCAATTTTTACCTCATTTTCTTTTCTTTTCTTTCTAGCCTTTTTACATTTATCTCGGGTACATGTATTCCGCTTCTAGTTTTCATAGCCTGCACTCGCTCTTTTGGATTGCTCAATGTATTGCTTGGCAATGCTCCTCGTGGTAGTTCAGCAAGTTGCTATGTTATCTAACCAATCTGTGTTTCCAACTTTTTAATAGTTGCTAACTTATTATAGAAATTTGTATCAATTTGTTCGAATACCTTGTCAGTCATTTGTATGTATTAATTGAACAACTCACCCAAACTTGGTTTTTTCACCTGTTGGGAATTATCTAAATTATTTGTATTAGACCACTGAAGTTTAGGTGTTGCCTCCATCCTAGATTATATGTTTGTCCGTATGTTGAAATTGTGGGAACCATTCTGAATGAAGCTTAGTTGTTCGTCTTTAAAGCTTGGAGATAAGCCATTTTTTGTAGCATGATTGGCCACACAATTCTCACATGCTCAGCTAACTATCTCTGCATTTGCTCCATGATTTTGTGATTTTACAAATAATTCCATCTATTTTGTCAAAGGAGCAATCTATGCATTGGTAGATCCTGTGTAGTCAAATTCATGAATTTCAGCTACTTTTTCGTACCCTATTTCTGATGAGAACATTGAATGTATAGTAGAAATCAACTCAAATTTAGCTATGCATTGTCAAACTGATTTACCAATGACGAATCTGTTTGTAGAGGAATCCACCTGAATTTAGCGAGTAGTAAAAGTCCATGGTAAAAGCATTGCATTTGATTACGTCTACTTATTCCAAGGTTTAAACACTTTCTCATTAGCTCCTTGTATATGTTCTACACTTCATGATATCTCTCCCCATCTCATTGCTGGAATGTTTGAATTTTTGCTACTTTTTCCAGTAGGAAGAATTTGTTGCAAACTTTTCTTGTCAAGTCACCCCATGTTGTTATACTTCCATAAGGCTCGGCATCTAACCAATCAAAAACTCCATCCCTCAATTTCCATGAAAATAAATATAGTTGGATAGCATCTTCATTAACTCTTAGTGCATGAAAATTCTGGCAATTTTAGAGAAATGAGGAGATAAGTTTGTTCAGGTTTTCGTATGCTAACTCATAGAATTGGAGAGTGTTGTTAGCCAAGTTAATCCAATCCGGCCTTATCTGAAAGTTATTCTGCCTGAAATCTGGATATACAATAATAGAGCGCTTAGTGCTATTACAGATTCTAAGAACATTGAAATTAACAAGTCTCATTTATCTATATCCACTTGTTCGTGTTGTTGGTTTTGCGTTGCCATTACCCTAGAGGCTCCTTGTCCAATTGGTTGTATCAGAATGTTTTGAACATCAACCATGTGATGTTTCTCTTTTTCGTATGTGTTCCTTGTGTCTTCGTCTATAGCTACGTTCTATTTTTGAATCAAAAGTTCAAGATCATCGCATTGAGATCGGACCATACAAAGAACACATTTTATTTGTAAATATGAAAAAATAAACTAATCAAGTAACAATCAAAAGTAAAATAAACTGAAATTAAGCCACTGTTTGGCCCACATTCTCTTTTATTTTTTTCCTCTCTCTTATTTTCAACCATACAATTTTATATAAAATAATATTACATGCAAATCAAAAAACTTTCCATTCTTTATCAACCGCACATTCTTCAAAAAAACACTATTCCAAACATTAAAAGTTGGAGAAAAATGGGGGCCAAATGGGTAAATGTAAATAATCTCCAAAACGGCGCTAAATATTTGTTGTGTTTTCTTTTTCTATTACAAGTGTACAATATCGAACAAGTATATAATGGACCTTTGAGTTCGAATAATTGTTCTCATGAGGACTATTATTCATTCCTAGTTTAATATTTCACACTTTCAACAAATGAAGAATAAAAGATGATTTTGTAATTGATTGTCTAAATTATACTAACTACTAGAAGTCATCAAAGGCACATAAAAATCGAATTAGGGTTTCAAATATGAAAGGGATACAAGGGCTTACAAATTCATTTGTTTGATTAACATTAATTCTTTAATCAAGATTTATAACCTAATGTAGTTTTTGATCGAATTCTTCTAATTTATTCAATTTACTCATCCTGAGTTCTCATTGATTCTATTTAACTAAGTCAATTTTATATCTCTATGTGAATCTTGATAAACCTTAGTTAAGTGCATTTAATTATTAAAAATTCATGTAATGATAACATTAATTAGCATAAATTTCTCTAAGTTTTACACTAGTTACTAGATTTTATTATGAGCTATAAATCTAAAATTCACCTCTCTACTAATCAATGACTAATTGACCAAAGAATTTAAGCATTAAACTCCATGAATAAAACTAACACATAAACTTTTAAAAAACTAGAATCTTGTGAATAGAAATAAAGGGTCGAAATAGATTACATTATTTTGCCCTAATGAAAAGTTTAGCTACTCATGACAGATGAAAAAAAAAAAAAAAAAACCACTAAGAATATTAATGGAATACATCACTGGGAATTGAAAAAGGATTTAGAAAAGTGATGACTCTTGCGCCAAGATGATCTTCTTTTTTCAATCAATTCACAAACACGAGCTTTGAGATCTTGATTTCTTGTTCTTCTTCAATGGATTGGCTTTCCTAGTTCTCAAGTTGTATCATTGTGTTTCTCAGTGTTTGAAACCTCTCAAAAGTGCATCTTCTTATTTATTTATATTTTTTCTAATTTTTTTCCCGAATTTGGAGTCTTTATGGACTTTTAACGGACCAAAAGTCAACACTGTTGGATGCTTTAGATGGAGCCTAGCTAGGCGCCACTTCTCGACTTCTTTTTTCTTACGCGATAGGGCTTTTTGTCCTTCCTTTTTTTTTTTTTTTTTGTTTTGGCCTTTTCCATGTGAGTGGCACTTGGGTGCCACTTGGTGGCGCTTGGGCATCCTGTTTGCATAGAAAATTGACTATTTTGCCCTTTGTCTTCTCTTTTCTCTTTGATTTATTCCAGGCCACATGTTTCTCCAATTTTTACATTGGTAACACCACTTCACCAAACCTACAAAACAACACTAAAACGCACGTTACAATGTTCTATACTCATAAGATCTAAACAATTATTAAGTTAAAATAGTAAAAAAATGTGTGAGTAAAACCAGTCACCTTTCATAATCAAGATGGAAGATTTTGTGTTGTTTTTATTTGGTTGATGATAGAGAATTTTTGGCAAGAATTTATTTCTTCTTGAGAATGATCTTCCCTTCAACGTATTTTCTCTTCACACCAAAAAGAAAGAAGTTTTTGTTGTTTATAAACTGTATTGACAATTCTAGATGGTTTAGAGTGTTTAGATGTTGAAAAAGAAAAAAGAAAAAAGAATTAGGGTCTTCTCGTAAATACGAGCACTCGAGCGCCCTTTGGACGGACATCGAGGGGTCCATCTCTGGAAAAGCAGCTTGAGCACTCACTTGGTGTTCTTAGAGTGCTCTTGGATCTTGCTTGACCTTCTTAAGCTCGCATCAAGCACTACTCAAACTACTACCAATACTTGTCAACTCAACCCCAAATAAATAATATTTGGACGCAGAACTTGCTAAGATTTTAGACCTAATATAGTTCTTAAAGAGTTCAATTTCCTTGCTCAATCCATGATCAATATGAGTTTGAAACTTCATTATAAGTCTCGAAAGTCCTTCGCATGGCTACAGTATAGCAAACTAACTAGAAAAGAACATTACAAACATTTTGACTACAGTAGATATTCAAAACTTGAAGATCTTGCAGAACGACCTTAATCGATCCAAATGAACTAAATCAAATGGCACTCTTTGTTTCATAAAGAGTTCCACACTTACAAAGGGTTGTCTATTTTTATAGTTGCCTTAAGAGACATTCCTTCTTCACACAATCCATATGGTCGTTGTGCAAACTTCAGAGGCGGACAAAACCACCCCTGATTTTATTTTGTAGTGTTTTATATATTACCACTGATGAGGACTCATGCATCTTTAATCTAATCAACATATTTATTACCAATGTTATGACTTCTACCTGTATCAAGTTGTAAAAATTGAACATATACAAATCTAGTAGATCTCGAGTTCAAGTTTTAGTGAATGATGCGTTCAAACACAAAGTATAAGATCTCAATTGCTTCAATTTCATCAAAGTGACGAGGGAAAAAGAGTGAAACACCCGTTTAGCAATAGTACAAGTGAAGGCTAACTATGATGAGAAGTTTGGGAAAATAGCGAGGGACTCGCGAATGGATTAGAAAAACAGAGAATTTTTTCACCGTAGGAAGGACTTATGTCTGATTAGTTATTTGACGAAACAATAGCTCGATAATTAGTAGCTCGAGAAAACCTTTATTTGGGCGAAGGATCATGTGAATGATACTGACTCTCATAAAAGAGATTTAATTTTGCATTAGGCTGCATAGTAGCCATAATCTACCCGCATTTCCTTTAATTCTTCAGTTTATCTGATCACCTCCTCTTCCATTTGCTGGCAAATCCTTTTACATTTTCAGGGTTTTGGCTTTACATAGACAAAGATTAAGCAGAAAGTTACAAGATAAAGTACTTTTCATTCTCCATCACATTCTCCCCACGAACCATAAGACAAAAATCTTGAAAACCACAATTAGAAAACGGTAAAATGAAAGAGAAGACTGTTTAAAAATCTCAATCTTTCTTTGATTTCTTCTTCTGTTCTGAGGATTCAAGAAGATCTTCCAAAACTCTATTATCCAAATATTCCAACTCAATCTTCTCTTCTCCTGCTGCTGATGGATAAGAATACGATGAAGACGAGGACAAGGACGAGGATGAAAATGTAGTAAATGCTGGATTATAAGGAGGAATAGTCAGTTGAGAGTAGTACTCATTTGGGAAATTCAATATTGCAAGATGACCCTTAAACCTAAAGGCGGCACGGTCATAAGCTCGGGCTGCGGCCTCAGCGTTATCAAATGTTCCGAGCCACAAGCGCGCTCCCTGCCTCGAGGGATCGCGTATTTCAGCTGCGAACTTTCCCCAAGGCCGCCTCCGGACACCCCGGTACCGAACTTCCTCTTTGCCTTTCTCTTCCTTGCCTTGCATGGCCTTACCTCTTGAACTAGAAGAACTTCCTTCCATTTCCTTGATGTTCAACTTGAATTATATTTGTATCGTTTTTGGCAATTCAAATTTGGTGGCCGAGAGAAAAGTTTGTAAGTTGACGGTTAGCTACTACATTATGGACGTGGGCATTTATACAAGATTCATGACTGTTGCAAATAGTTATATACGTATATATTAATATATATCAGACACAAAAACATACTTTCTAGGAAGTTTCTTCAAATATGTAAAAGATTTGGATTCCAAGACCGAATCGAATGTGATATTCAAAAGGGTCCGAAACTATTTTCTTTACTAAGAATTGTATCCATACAGTGTATGATATTTTACTTTCAAGAAATAGATTTTGTTACCCTACGAGACAGTAAGAAAAGGAAAAAAAATCCCTCTTAAGAGTTGTGCTTTGACTTTAGGGAAAAAAATTCCTCTTAAGAGTTGTGCTTGGACTCTATTCTACTTTATGCTCCATTCTGGGACTCTTTTTAAATTATCGCATCAAGAGCACGTTTCACTTATCGTAAAAGTTAATTTCACATTTTTTTCTTTAAGGAAAAAAAGGTGCTTTGTTTAGGCTTTTAGGACAACATATAAAATTATATGTAAAAAAGGAACTAATGGTCGCCAACATATTGCATGCCCTGACACTGAGTTGACCTTCCGTCTTTAGAAACGAGCAAGTTGGTCCCCAACCTTTGATTATAGTCGCAAAATCTTAATGATATAACTTGAGTTTGTCGCACAATTCTCACATGCTAAAACTGCATGAAACTAGATTTGTTCACCAAGTTAGGATGGGATCTTAAAGTTTGATATGAGACATATTTTCATGAGATCACGTGATAATTTAACAAATATTTAAATGTTTTCTTCGTTGAAATTAACAGTGTAAAATATGGAAAAGCTGATGATAAAAGTTTTAATTTTAAAGTTTGTGACGAACTTGTTAATAGAGCAGTAAGTTGGGGACTAATATTGTAATTTTTAAAATTATGTCTTAGGGACTTATGTTGCTAAAAGTTAATAAAAATTGTTGGGTTGTCTAAATTATGTAGTGAAAAGTGGATCAAAGTTGTAGGAACTATGTACTTAAAAGTGAAGTTTGATTAGCCAAACATACCATTGTTTCAAAAATTTATTTTTCTAAAATTCATTTTTAACCATACAATCTCCTATAAAATAATGTTGCACATAAATCCAAAACTTTTCTTACAAATTCAAAACTTATTTTCCTCTAAAATTTCATTTTAATGAAACCCAAACAGGGCTATATGCAAATAGGGGTTATATGTCTTTGGACCCTTTACTTTTTATCAATTGACATGACTTGGAGAATAAATGGAAGGAGGAAAAGTAAATTGGAATTTTTTTACATAAAGAATTAAGACCAAACAATTATAATTGTTCTTTAACCTTAACTTTAATAATATTAAATCTTAAAATTCTTGGTGCATGCATAAGTTGGCTAATGAAATAATTTATTAATTACTTTTTAGTCGCCAAAAGGAATACAATCAAACGTTGAAAGAAATAACATGGCACGAGGGATTTGAATTCAGTTTGACCTCTCTGTAAAAAGCCAAAAGAGTAGTTCACGTTAGAGAATTGGTAATTAGTCATTCGTTTTAGGCCTTCAAAGTCTAAATATTTGTCTAATCTATAATTAATAGAAGTTTTACCATGTAAAACAAATTTAAAGATTGTCTTAATTTGTTCAATCTTGATAGTGGCTACACTCTTGTGCAAGTTCTTGATATAAAAGTAAAAGATTCTGGTCATGTCCTTGAACTAATTCCCAAATGACAACTTTGTAAATGCTGTGACAAAGTAAGCTTTCCATCTTACGAAAAACGTGGATTCTTTTTGGGCTGTTGGATGGTATTGAGGGGTCCATTATCTCAGAATACAAATTGTTTCTATCTGCGAAAACTCATTCGTCTAATCCTCTTTTGATTATTGAAGTCAGATCTTTTACTGATCTTGCATTTGTAATGTTCAATATTTCCAATTTGTGTGTGTGAATGTTGATGATCTGAGGGTAGGTTTGGCTTGCGTGAAGTCTTGTGAACAGTGGCTTTTTAGATTGGGAGATCTTGGTTTAAACCGAACGTATTGAACTATTTTTACTAGTTCTTCAGCGCAAATTCCTAATTAAGAGGAAGATACTTGTAGAGTAGGATGGTTTTTGGCCGAATGGCAAGCCTTCGAGAGAGCAATCTTTTCCTTCTCTTCATATTTTCTGATTGCTTCCTATTTATAGACTTTTTAATGGTATCAAAGCTTTCGGTGGAGGTGAATATAGAAAATCTACATGGATTTACCGCTACATGTTAAAAATATTCTTGAGCCGAGGCTGCCTCGATGTGCAGGAGTTGACTGAACGCACAGGGCCTCAACATTATAGGAGCACCAAAAAAATTTATTGAGCATTTCTTTCTTTCCTTCTTTAGATTTTTAATAGCATCTTTTCACATTGTTGTTACCATCAGGGTCACTGTTAGGAAATTCCTCATCAGGTTCTAATTCTTCTTTTTAGTAATATTGACTTAGTTTGGCTCTTTTCTATGAAGTTTTCGATGATAGTTTAGCTCAAAACAACAAGACCATGGCTATCCTTTTACTAGTTTTCCATAGATGAAGCCAATTTGTTGATCTCTAAGTGATGATCAATAAATTCATCTCACCTAGTCGGGGTTTTTCCCTACTAAACTCGTTATTTTGCTGCTCAATAGGCGCAAGAAGCGAATGACTATTTGGTAGGAACTTATTTCATATTGAGCATGTCTTTCTTCATCTAGGCTCACCTATTTATAGATTTTCATCCAAGCATTGGGGGTAGATGGGTCTTTTCGTATTGGTGACATATGGCAGGCTTTGATTGAATAACTTCTAACTAGTTCTGGACTCGGTTCAGATTTTATATACTATCTTAATCCTTCCATTTTGCTCAAGTATATTGATTCACATTGTGTATTTAATTTCGTGTATATGTTTTTTTCCCTTATGAGTGTTTTTAACTCATTTTAGGCTAGCGTTTACTTTCGGCATCTTTATAATGCTCATTTAGATGAATATTTCATATTTAACAGTATATCTTTCTCGAGTAAAAGGTGACCGCTAAAATTATAAGCCGCAAGTGTATGGATTGCATTTAAGTAATAAAGTGAATTGAAGAGTTCGACTTGCTGATTCCACGAAAAATGTTTACTCAATTACACAATAATTAATTTAATTCTAACAGTGAAACACACAATAAAATTTTGATTTTTAAAATGAAAAATTTTACTAAATACTCTACGAAAATAACAAATCTAAAAATTACAAAAAATTGATAGTTGGCATTCGTGATTTCACTTAACCGTCATTTATTAATTTCTCCACAAACAAATTACTCATTTAGTATGTTAAACCCGATTTTTCTATTTTAACTTATTATCTCTCTCAAGCTAAATTAGATATAATCAATTGGTTTAACCTAAAATATCTCTATGATACTTTTTCTGAAAATAGATCAATGGGTCAACTAGGATCATGAGTATATCTATGTCTCTTACAAGACTATATGGTCTAAAATGCACTTTATTCTTTCAAGGATGGCGTAAATCACTCAACACAATCATTGATTGGCCAAATAAATGAATAACATGAAATACAATACAATAGGAAATACTCAAAAATAAGTACTTAAATATTAGATAGCAAATATCGAAATTAATCAATCTAGGTTAAGTTTCATCAATCATCACAACATCAAAAAATTTAGGTCATTTTATATGAATGATAAAAATGAGAAGATTTATAGCAATATATTACAATTGGGGAAAATAATGGATGAAAAAAATAAAATAAAAATGGGCCCCATCTTTTGGTTGGATTCTTAAGGGTTTCAATGGCTTAGCCTTGATTTTTTCTTCTCTTTGGGAATGAAATGAATGACGAATAGATGAAGAATGTGACAAAACAGGCCATCGTGTCCGTCGGCCAACGCTCGGTCTTTCTACCCAAGTACTAAAGCAGCCCGTACATACGGACATTGCCCTTTTCGTTTTTTGCAACTTTATTCTCCACAATTTGCACATTAGGTCCCTCAACTTTGATCTTGTAAATCTTGGTCCTCAAATGTTAACTTTTATCTCAACCACGCCCTTGATAATTGCTTTCAAAGTCTTTCAACTTTCGATTCTTGTACAATTTGATCCCCAAATTCACATTTTTGTACGCTTTTGATTCCTTTTCGTTTCATTTTACCATGTTCTCCCCAAATTTAAGTTCTTTGACACTTAGGCTTATACAAGGTAATTCAAACCACTAGTTATCTAAAGTCCCCTTCAATTACGTATGCACAGTTTCTGTTAAAATTTTCAGTAAAAGCTCAAGATTGACCGCACTCGCTTAAGCGTTCTTCTTGATCCATATAATGATCTTTAGGTCAATAACTCCCTAATTTTTAAAGACCAAAGGGTATTAGATTTTGAGATACCATAATAGACTTACTAACTTGAATAAAAAAGGCTATAGTTCAAGATAAGAAGTAATAAGTACGATGCTTCTTTAAACAATATATTTGTTAGCCAAAGACACTCCACACAAATATATTTAACATGAAAGGGATCAACAATTTCCAAATATCTTATCGACTCGACCTCCCCCAAACCTATCTCACAATAGGGTTAAGTGGCATAGAATGTGGGTTGATAGAAATTTTCACACAACTCATAACCTAGATCTATCAATTCAAAACTCTCTCCCCAATTAATAATTTCACATCTAGACAACAATTGATCGTGACTATTGTTCTCAAAATAACATAAGATCTTACCATAGATAACAATTTTTTTCACTAAAATTTAGGTACATTATTATATTTAGTCAAAACTATAAATCAATAACAATTTCAAATATCAAACCATCCTTAGCCAGTAAGGCTATCTAACCCGTCAACCATAATAAACATCAAATAAACAAAGACCCCCCAAACTTGAAGTACAAATCGTCCTCAATTTGGGAAAAGAAGAAGAAGGAGTGATGATTAACGAAACTTTCCATGTTGGATG